AGCCAGAATGTTCCTTCTAAAATCCTCTGATGAATTTCCACATCACTGAGTAAAAGTGAAAGTTCTTCCAATGGCTCATGAGAACTGACATGATCTATGCCCACCTCCACCTCTCTGGGTTCATCTGCTACCACCTTACCTCTCTCCCTTACCTCACTCCAGCCTCTCTCCTTTACCTCACTCCCTTACTTCACGACTCCTCGTTTCCCTACTTACCATTGCTCTGTCAAATTGTGGGAGGCTGAATAATGGCTCCCAAACTTGCCATGTTCTAATTCCTGGAACCCATAATTTTATTTCTCGGTGACAGAAGGGACTTTGCAGATGCAATTATATTAAGACTCTTAAAACGGAAAGATTATCCTGGATTACCTGGTGGGCCCAAACTAATCACAAGGCTCTCTGTAAGAGGGACATAGGAAGAGGCAGATCAGAAGAAGGCAAGGCAAAGATGGAGGCAAGGGGATAAAAAGTGATGTGATATGTGAGCAATGAGCAAGGAATGAGGTCAACCTCTAGAAGCTAGAGGAGGGAAGGGAACAGATTCTCCGCGGAGCCTCCAAAAAGAACACAGCCCTGCCAACACCTTGATTTTAGGTCATATAACTAACTCATTTCAGATTTCTGACCTCCAGAACTGTGAGAAATTGATTTGTGTTGTTTCGAGGCACTGTTTGTAGTAATATGTTACAGCAGCAATAGGAAATTATTCTGTTTCATGATTCTTTATGGTACTATTACCATTGGGCTTATTTTATATTTTCTTATTTATTTGTCCATCAGTTGTCCCTCCCACTACAATGCAAAGTACATGGGAGCCAGGATTTTGGTTTCTTCGTGGTTGTAAACCTAGGGCCTGGCACAATAACTACCTGTTCAGTGAGGGAATAAATGATATATTTTAATTAAGTAATTGGCCAACACCCTGAAATAGCTGATCTTCGATAAAATGTTGTTTGAACACAGAGTTACAAGCCTGCATGACATTTTCACTGACTTGTCTAGAACAGGTGGAAACATGTACACATGAGCTTGGGCTGCATCTAAAAGAGCCCAGGAGAAGAAATCCCAGGACTGCATAGCAACAAGCCCTGCTAGGAAGATGGTGAGCACACTTAAGCCCTGTCAAATTTGAGGGGGTTCCAGCATCCACTCCGGGTTGTTGGGAAGAGGAAGGAGCCTGAGCAGGTTACACTCATACCCTCTACTCCCATGCAAGCCGAACAACCCCTGTTTTTACCTGTTTTTGTATATTACATTTTGTATATTACATTTCCATTCAACATTGAATAAGTGAGATGGGGTAGAGGCGTAAGAAGCAAGGATGCTAACTGTTCCTCTTGTTACTGAGTTCTGCTAAATATCCTTAAAAAGGAGTTCACACACAGGAGGTCGATAGTACACGCTAACATTATGGTTAACATAATTATACTAAAAAGAATGTCAACTTAAAGATTTAATTAAGTCTGGTATTTGCTTTACAGTATTACAGACCATAAATAATTTAGTAATCACACATCACTATCCCACAGTTTTTCCTATTGATGGAACCAGCTAGAGATGCCAATACTTCTATTTTCTTCTACTTCTTTTTGGTTCAACACCAGTGGTAGGCTAATTTCTGGTGAAATCAACACTTTGCCAAATTTACAAATAATTGTCTTGGTGCCAGTGATGAGGATGATGACCATTCACCCTGCCTGCTGCATAAAGTTGCAGGATGCTTCTGTCCTGAGAAAAAATACAACTAGTCCTCACTTTTTAAAAATGTGGTTTTTTTGGAAACCAACACAATGGCGATGTGGCTATGGAGGCTGAACGCTGCTTGAATGTATCAGCTCCGACTTCGCCTTCTCCATGGACCCCCTGCAGACTCCCTCCTGGAACTGCCACAGCACTCCACGCATTCCTATAGTCACCAACACTTGCACGTTAAACATGTGCAAGTCTGTCTCCTGCTCCACATTGTCAATTTCTTCAGTGCAAGAGCCCTGTCTTACACAGCCCTCCCCCTCCCTCGCCCCGATAATACAAGGCAAGCTTTAATATAATACCAGGCAAGCTTTGTCAGGTACCTAAGTATGAGTCAAACACTCTGATAGTTGATTTTTAAAAAGGCCTTGTGGTAGAATAAAGGATACATGATTTACACACAAAACAACTAGGGAAAGTACAAAGTAGAAAATAATAGTGCATTAAACTAGCAAATAAAGTATATTTCATTAGAGGAGTTATTGGAAATGAGGAGAGGGAGAAATGAGCGTGGGCTGAAATTTTGTAGGCTCATAGAGTAATCATTTTTATTAGCAAAAAATGGCAGTATTACTAATATGTTGTCTTCGTATTTTAAAGAAACATGTAAATATGAATATCGTGGGATCCTAAGTTTTGCGGGGGAAATATTCTGCCATCTTTATTAATAAAGATGATTATTTTTAGCCCTGAAATGCTTTTCATGTTTTAATAATAGTCATAGCCATAATCTTTATTACAATATTAATCTAATACAAAGATCACCAAAGTTCTTTGCTTAAATATCATAAGCATTAAACATTAACACTGGCGATTAGTGTCTTACTGCTACGGAAATCATTTTACTTCGTCAGATATTTTAGTTATATTGGTGCCCAAAGAGCAAGCTCAGTGACAGAGGTAACATTTATTGAGCACAAATCTGAAATACCTGTGACCTTAGAAATGTCATGAAGGAAACTCCAGCACCTGACTGCAGATTCGACTTTCTCTTACAAACTTTGGTTTTGTTTTCTCAAATCATGCCAACGAAGAAAATTTAACCAGACAGGAAAATGTGCTTAATGTCTGTCACAAGATAAGGGTCTGAGCAACAATTTCTGCTCATTTGTAAGTGAACTCAAAAAATGCTTTGCCCGCGGTATATAGAAGTCAATGATTAGACACATTTTAAATGCCTTTCCAGTTCTTGCAATTTTGAGCTGTCCTGGGTGAATTCTGGAATGACCGATTTAATCAGCACTACTCTTGACAAAGTCCTGAGATCCGAGGACCCCGACACCATGCATCTTTCCCTGATCACTCAGAGCAAAATAAAACATCAATTATACCATCTGTACATGCAGGTGTGCCTATCAGAGGCAGCCCTTACCTTCACAAAGAGGGTAATCTGAGGGTCTGTGGAAGATGATTCATTTTCTTCCAAACCATCAGCAGCAGAGTAGCAGGTGGGGGGACCTTCACTGCTCTCCAGGACGGTGAAGCTTGAAGGAGAAGGCAGGTCTTCTTTCATCATACTTCCATTCTCCTGTGGCTCTGCTGGGCTAGGCTCCTGGTCTTGAGTTGGTGAGTGTAATTCTTCCATTGAGATGTCCTTCTCCTCCTGAGGCCCACCTGGTGGAAGATCCTGGGCCTCAGGGCATACTTCATCAGGCAGGAGGTCGCTTTCTGCTTTCGGTTGGGAAGAGGCCCAACTGTTCTCTTCACCGCCAACAGCATAAACCGGTACAGAGTTATAGTAATGAGATTCCAGCTCAGTGGCATATAAACTGTTTTCTGACCTCGAGTCTTCAAGCATGTCATCATTATGGGCGCTTTCATTTTCTGCTGGCTGGTCTGGAACCTCATACATCCCCACTTTTTGGACTGTGTCATAGATGGTGCTGTACTCTTTGTCATTCATGTTTATTGATCTGATAGATCCTTTTGCAAGCAGACCTGAGTGGATCTGAAGTGAGTAAAGTGACAGAGGATGCTGCACTTCCTTGCAGAGGAGTCAGTGGGCTTTTGAAACACAGAAACTAGCAACAGCTATCAATGACAGGTCTCTAACAATCATTAACCAGAGCCTTTAATCAGCAAACCACAAGTCCATTGGATGAAAGATAAAGCTTACATATTCAGTTAACTCTTTCACCCCTAAGGACATTTTTAACTGACTCTGGGGTTTTCCTCATCACCAGTAACTAAGTTTCTTTGGATTGACTACAGGTTGAATTTAATTTCCTCCCAGTCCACAGTGAAATTTCTGAATATTTACCCATTTGTCACTAAATGGAGCTCAGTCTTTCAACTGACCTCACGTGCTGACAGCGTTCAAGAAGTCCCTGCAATTCAGTGGAGAACAATTCTTCACAATGGTAATATCTATTTATAGCTGAATTCATTACACAAAATAATTATTTGAATATTGATATCCTATGATAAATGAGTTATATGTACTTCAGTTAGGAAATGAATTCTATTTTCATTTCTTATCTGGAAAGAGCACTAGGTAAATGACAGAAGGAAAAAAAGATAACGCTCTGGTCTACGGACATATCAGTACAGACCACCAAAAATAAGGGACTTAAAGGTTTATGGCTTTGAGGTTTTTTTTCCCTCTTAAATCTGGGTGATTATCACAGTGAACAAACATTCACTAAGAATCTATTATGCACAGGATTTCGAATTGAGCACTAAACATATTAGTTAGAAGATAGATTCTCTGTTCTCAAGGGAATTTTAAGTATAGTTAGAGGGCCAGGAAGAGAAATTAAAACCCTTATGGACGCAGAATAAACTATGCAAGTTTTGCTTAGTGCAATTGGCCCAGGTCTGGAATAAGAAGCAAAGAACCGTATGTACAAATTTGCTAGTAGATGTCATCTACAGATGCCATAAATATAAAGGCTCTTCATTTTTTAACTTGGTACTCTGTTCTGCTAATTCCTGCTTCTCATAGCACATCACATACATCTTTCTCTTTGAAGTGACAACCCAATGGATTGTAAAGGAACTTTAATGTCTAAACATCATGTGAAAATTGAGAAGCAATGAAACTCTGGTTGACAGATTTCAAAGGATTTGATGAACATCTTATTGACAAAACTCTATTGTACCCTTAGCTCCAATATTGAATCTTCTATAATGAACTAGAACAATATTTCTAGAATTCTAGCTTTTGGGGGAAAAGGCCAGAGACAGACTCTAAAGGTTGTTGACACGAGCCCCTTTTCTTATTAAAAAGTGAGAGTTGATGGGTGCAAATATCTGATCAATTACAATAGGCTCCATAATCAGGCATTTATAACTGAATGAAGCCCCAGCTCAATCCCTTTTCATAATTTTAGTGCTGGAGAAAATCTAAGAGATCACTCAGCCCAGCACTTTATTTAACAGATGAGAAAAGCCTGAAACCCAGAAAGGGGAAGTCGGTGGTCCAAGTCTGCACAGTTAACAATGAGCTGATTTCAGCTGTAGCTTCTTAACCTCCAGATTGGTGATCCTACTGCCATGCACAACCTTCCTTCAAGTTGGCGTTCTCCAACCTTTCTTTCATGATCACAGCCTTCTCCCCAGGCCCCGAAAGATCAGTTTTAGATACTTTCTCCATGAAATTGAGATGCTGCAGATATACTTTATATCTGTTTACATGCTGGTTTACATGCTGTGTATATCTAGATAGATAGATAGATAGATAGATAGATAGATAGATGATCGATCTGTGCTTTTTTATATAAAAAGAGTAAGATTTTTGTCCCTCGGGAAACATTTTTCACCCCTTCGGGGGTGTTAATGCTCTTTTTGAGAATGTGTGCTTTAATTGCTAAAACACTTCTTGAGTGTAACTCATAATCTAGCACTGGATTATATGCCATTCTGTATTATTACCAAATAATAATATTCCACAACTTGTGCATATGTACACAGCCTGCTACCAGGGCCTTGCTGTGAATGACCCAGTGAGACAGCGGAGGCTGGTTAAGCTTAGGGACCAAGAACACAGTTTATAAATTTGATCCCCCTTGTGTCCCTTTTCAGGACACACCCATCATGATTTAGTTACTGGTTGTAACATGAAACCAGTCATCCTGTTACAATGTTAAGTCAGGTCATATCACTGCCTAACGCCCTGAAATGACCCCTCATTTTTCTCAATAAAAGCCAAAGTACTTACAATGACCCACAAGGCCCTACAAAACCTACACTGGCTCCCCTATACCTGTTTTTTTCCCCCTGCTTACTCTGCTTCAGACAATCTGGCCTCATTGCTATGCCTGGAACACTCCAGAATGTTCCCATATTAGGATGTGTATACTGGCTGTCTCCTCTGCCTGGAATACATTTCCCCTGGACATCTGCATGGTCAATTCCCCAAACCCCTCTAAGGTTTGCTTATATCTCCTCTTTTCAGTGAGCCCATTCTGGCTGTTCTGTTAAAAATGACAACCCACCCCGACTCCGATCTGTTACCTCCTTCCCATTACTAAAAACCCTTACCTGAATTTTTGTTCCTTTTTTCATATACCTGTCAGCTTCTAATAAGATATATACATTAATTTTTTATCCTGTCGAGTTTATTTTCTGTCTTCTCTCACTATAATGTAAACCTTGAATGAACACGGATCTGTCTGTTTTTCCATTATTATCTGAAGCACCTATAAAAGTGCCTGACACATATTAGAGACTCAATACATATTTGTTGAATACATTTCTGTGATTATATGATATCTTTATCCTTCACTGGATGTGTAAGTTTTTTGCCCATTATTGTATACCTAAAGTCTAACAGATATCTAACATATAATAGGTGCTTTTGAAATATTTGTTTTATAAACAGCTAAAATAAAAGAGATGCATCTAGAATTCATGTACTCTTATTTCTGGTCCAGTTTCTTTCCGTATTATGTGTAAATATTATTTCCTTACTATATTGTAAACTCCTACAGAAAGAGAATTGAAAAGGGGATCTTCCACAGCACTTTGTATAAAGCAAGTTGGCTTGTTTACTTATAAAAGAATAAGTCTGTCAACCAATTAATCAATCAAAATATTTTGAGACCTCTAAATGTCTGTTACTTATAACCTAGAAAAGGAAATAAGACATATATTCATTGGCTTGAGAAGTTCTAAAACTAAGCTTGGGTACTTTATGAGATACAACTCTGCTCAGGTCTTATCCATGTTTGGAAGGCTTCAGTGGTTCCGAAGCATATGCAGGAAAATGTTCCTTCCAAGACCTTTCACAATTGGAACCAAGCCTATCTCTACAACCAGCTTCTCCCCTCGGCACTCCCCCCAAATGTCCTACTCTGCAACCAGAAAAGATGCTCTTTCCTGAATGCGCTATGCCATCTCCTGCCCCTATGCTTTTGCACGTATATTCCCTCACTGGACAAAATTCTACTCACTTTACTATATGCAGGATATAAATCTGCATAAGAGATGATCTTATCTGTGCTTACAACTGAGGGAACTTACAAACTAGTAATTCAACAGAAAGGATCCAACTGGGACTTAGAGCAAGCCTGCTCATTGTCTGGGTTAACTTTGGGTCCAATGTCTGGTTTTCTGGTTTGCAGAAGATTCAATTTTGTTAGTTTGAGTTTTTCAAACATTGGAGAACTGGATCACTCTTAACAAAATTCAAAAAACATCAGTTTAGCAACTGACATGCAAATTTATGAATTTACTTCCCGATACCAGCTTGGGTTAATAAGTATAAGTTTTTCACAGCAGCAAAGTCTACATAGGGAGCCAGTTAAGATAATATCCTCATGTTACGTTTATGAGATGTTTCTAGGAACTGAAACAATACTCTTCTTTTTAAAACCCAGTATTAGTGATTTGTGCCCCTTTTTGGAGTTTTTTAAATTAAATATATTGGAATGACATTGGTTAATAAAATTGTATAAGTTCAATGTGAACACTTCTGTAATACATCACTTCTATATTGCATTGCGTGTTCATTACCCAAAGTCAAATCTCCTTCAGCCACCATATATTTGACCCCCTTTACCTTTATTTACTTGCCCCACTCCCCTCTTTCACTCTGGTAACCACTAAACTGTTGTCTGTGTCTATTAGTTTTTGTTTGTCTTGTTCATTTGTTGTTTTCAGTTTTATATCCCGCATATGAGTGAAATCATGGTTCTCAACTTTTTCTGATTTATTTCATTTAGCATGATAATCTCAGGATCCATCCATGTTGCAAATGGCAGTATTTTATCTTTTCTACAGCTGAGTAATGTTCCATTGTATGTATGTACCACATCTTCTTTATCCAATCATCTATCGAAGGCCACTTCAGTTGTTTACATTGTGAGTAATGCTGCAATAAACATCGGGATGCATATATCTTTACGGATAAGTGATTTAAAACATTTTTGTAAGATACTCAAAAGAGGGATCGCTGAGTCACATGGTAAGTCTATTCTTAATTTTTTGAGAACCTCCATACTGTTTTCCATAGTGGCTGTACTAATTTGCCGTCCCACCAGCAGTGTATGAGGGTCCCTTTTTCCACCCAACCTCTCCAATGTTTGTTATTACTTGTCTTGTTGATCATAGCTATTCTAACAGGTGTTAGCTGTTATCTCATTATGGTTTTGATTTGTATTTCCCTATTAGCTGATGAACTTGAGCATCTCTTCATATATTTGTTGTGTGCCTTTTCTTTTAATCTCAAACAATCTCATTAGAGATTTATCACTTTTTATTATTTTAGAGAAACTTTGTCTTTATTAATAATCTCTTTGTGCATTTCTTTGCAGTTTCATTAATTTCTGCTCTTATATTTATTACTTCTTTTCTTCTCTTCTCTTTGGTTTTACTTTGCTGCTTTTTTATCCCAACATAATTGTGATAGATACTTAGATCATTGGTGTTCTGCTTTTCTTCTTTTCTAATATATGCATTTAAGACTTAATTTTCCTCTAAGGAGCTTTATCTACATCCCACAAGTTGTAATATGTTTTATTTTGATTATCATTCAGTTCAAAATATT